GACGCCCGCGACAAAACCGGCTCGTCCGCCCAGAAATCCCTGTCCGAGTACAACAACTTCAAATCCATGGTGGTCTCGGGGGCCAAGGGCTCCAAGATCAACATCTCCCAGGTATGGGGTCTCCAGGAGATCTTGGGAAGCTCCTCGAGGGGTTTGGAGTGGTTTTTGGAGGATCTCAGGGGGTTCTTGGGGAGTTTTTTTGGGGTTTTTCTGAGGTTCTCAGGTGGTTTTGGGCTCCAGGATCAACATCTCCCAGGTGTGAGGTCTTCAGGAGATTTTGGAGGGTTCCTCGAAGGGTTTGGGGTGGTTCCTGTGGAGTTTTTTGGGGTTTCCTGAGGTTCTCAGGTGGTTTTGGGCTCCAAGATCAACATCTCCCAGGTGTGGGGTCTCCAGGAGATCTTGGGGGGTTTCTCAAGAGGTTTGGAGTGGTTTTTGGAGGATCTCAGAGGGTTTGGGGAGGTTCCTGTTGAGGTTTTTTTTGGTTTTTTTTGGGGTTTTCCTGAGGTTCTCAGGTGGTTTTGGGCTCCAGAATCAACATCTCCCAGGTATGGGGTCTCCAGGAGATCTTGGGGGGCTCCTCGAGAGGTTTGGAGTGGTTCCTATTGAGTTTTTTGGGGTTTTTTTTGGGTTTTTCTGAGGTTCTCAGGTGGTTTTGAGCTCCAAGATGAACATCTCTCAGGTGCGGGGTCTCCAGGAGATCCTGGGGGGGCTCTTCGAAGGGTTTGGAGTGGTTCTTGGAGGATCTCAGAGGGTTTGGAGAGGTTCCTGTGGAGTTTGGTGGGGTTTGGGGTGGTTCCTGTTGAGTTTTTTGGGGTTTTTTGGGGGTTTTCCTGAGGTTCTCAGGTGGTTTTGGGCTCCAGGATCAACATCTCCCAGGTGTGAGGTCTTCAGGAGACCTTGGGGGGCTCCTCGAGGGGTTTGGAGGATCTCAGAGGGTTTGGAGTGGTTCCTGTTGAGGTTTTTGGGGGGGGTTTTTGGGTTTTNCCCCGTGTCCCCAGGTGATCGTGGAGAACGGCGAGCTCATCATGGGCATCCTGTGCAAGAAATCCTTGGGCACCTCGGCTGGGTCCCTGGTGCACATCTCCTACCTGGAGATGGGCCACGACACCACGCGCCTCTTCTACAGCAACATCCAGACCGTCATCAACAACTGGCTGCTCATCGAGGGTCAGCGGGGCCGGGGGGGTGGGACACCATTGGTGGCATCTAACAGGGGTTTGGTCAACAAGGGATCTTCTCAGACCTTGGTGTTGAGAGGATTTTGGTGTCTCTGGCAGTGTTTGGGTCCTATTTTTGAAGTCTTTGTGGTCCTTGGGCCCATTTTTGGTGGTCCTGGGTGAGCGGGAACCTCCTTGGTGGCATCTAACGGGGCTTTGGTCAACCAGGGACCTTCTCAGATATCAGGATTTGGGTGTTCCTGGGGCTCTTGGACCTCATTTTTGAGGTTTTGGGGGTCCTTGGATTCAGTTTTTGGTGGTCCTGGGGGGCTCTGGTGGGGTGGGAACCTCCTTGGTGGCATCTAACAGGGGTTTGGTCAACCAGGGATCTTCTCAGATCTCGGGATTTGGGTGTTTTTGGGGTTCTTGGACCTCGTTTTTGAGGTCTTGGTGGTCCTTGGACTCTTTCTTTGGGACTGGGGGTCCATGAGGGGCTGGGACTGCTCTTGGTGGCATCTAATGGGGGTTTGGTCAACCAGGGACCTTCTCGGATGTCAGGATTTGGGTGTTCTTGGGGCACTTGAACCTCGTTTTTGAGGTTCTGGTGGACCTTGGACTCTTTCTTTGGGACTGGGGAACTTCTGGGGGGGTGGGACACCCCTTGGTGGCATCTGACGGGGCTTTGGTCAACCAGGGACCTTTTTGGATATCAGGATTTGGGTGTTCCTGGGGCACTTGGACCTCATTTTTGAGGTCGTGGTGGTTCTTGGATTCTTTTTTTGGGGTCTGGGGCACTGTGGACCCTTGGACCCCTCTTAGTGGCATCTAACGGGGGTTTGGTCAACCAGGGACCTTCTCAGATCTCGGGATTTGGGTGTTCTTGAGGTTCTTGGACCTCATTTTTGATGTCTTGGTGGTTCTTGGACTCTTTTTTGGTGGTTTTGGGGTCGAATTTGGAGGTTTTGGGGTTGGATTTGGTGTCGGGGGTGATCCCAAGTTTGAGGATCCTGGAGAGCCCAACCCAGGATTGGTTTTGGGGTCAGATTTGGGGTCAGGAGTGACCTCAAGTTTGGGGTGACACCTAGAGCCCAACCCAGGGTAGGTTTTGGGGTTGGATTTGGTGTCGGGGGTGACCCCAAGTTTGAGGATCCTGGAGAGCCCAACCCAGGGTTGGTTTTGGGGTCAGATTTGGGGTCAGGGGTGACCCCGAGTTTGGAGCAACCCCCAGAACCCAACCCAGGATTGGCTTTGGGGTGGAATTTGGGGGTTTTGGGGTCGGGGGTGACCCCAGGACCCCCCTGAACCCCGAATGTCCCCACCCACCCCAGGTCACACCATCGGCATCGGGGACTCCATCGCCGACGCCAAAACCTACCAGGACATCCAGAACACCATCAAGAAAGCCAAGCAGGATGTCATTGAGGTGCGATTTTGGGGCGAATTCCTGGGATTTTGGAGCTTTTTTGGGATTTTTTAGGAATTTCGGGAACCCCCAGGTGGTGGTGTGAACCCCCGGGTTGGGATTTTGGAGGATTTTCTGGGATTTTGGGGCTTTTTGGGAATTTTAGAGACATCTCAACCCCTTCCCCCGATGTTTCCTACCACTCCCAACCCCTTGAGATATTTTATGGAATTCTCAGGAATTTTATGGAACTTTCAGGAATTTTGTTGGGGTTTGGGGTCACCCCAAAATACCCTGAAATATTTTCTAGAACCCTCAAGAATTTCATGGGATTTTCAAGAATTTTGGGGCGGGTTTGGGGTCACCCCAAAATACCCTGAGATACTCAAAAATTTCAGAAAACCCTCAAGAATTTAATGGATTTTTTTTTTTACAAAACCCAGAATTCTGCTGTTTTTCGGGACCTCCCCACTGACGTTTTTGGGTTTTTTTTGGGGTCTCCAGGTGATTGAGAAGGCTCACAACAACGAGCTGGAGCCCACACCCGGCAACACCTTGAGACAAACCTTCGAGAACCAGGTGAACCGGATCCTCAACGACGCCCGCGACAAAACCGGCTCGTCCGCCCAGAAATCCCTGTCCGAGTACAACAACTTCAAATCCATGGTGGTCTCGGGGGCCAAGGGCTCCAAAATCAACATCTCCCAGGTGCGGGGTCTCCAGGAGATCTTGGGGGTTTCCTGGAGGGGTTTGGGGTGGTTCCTGTTGAGTTTTTTGGGGTTTTCTGAGGTTCTCAGGTGGTTTTGGGCTCCAAGATCAACATCTCCCAGGTGTGAGGTCTCCAGGAGATCTTGGGGGGTTCCTCGAGGGGTTTGGGGTGGTTCCTGTTGAGGTTTTTTGGGGTTTTTTTGGGGTTTTCTGAGGTCCTCAGGTGGTTTTGGGCTCCAAGATCAACATCTCCCAGGTGTGGGGTCTCCAGGAGATCTTGGGGGGTTCCTCGAGGGGTTTGGGGTGGTTCTTGGAGGATCTCAGAGGGTTTGAAGAGGTTCCTGTGGAATTTGGTGGAGGTTTTTTAGGTTTTTCTGAGGTTCTCAGGTGGTTTTGGGCTCCAGGATCAACATCTCCCAGGTGCGGGGTCTTCTGGAGATCATGGGGGGTTCCTCGAGGGGTTTGGGGTGGTTCCTGTTGAGTTTTTTGGGTTTTCCTGAGGTTCTCAGGTGGTTTTGGGCTCCAGGATCAACATCTCCCAGGTACGGGGTCTCCAGGAGATCTTGGGGGTTCCTGGAGGGGTTTGGGGTGGTTCCTGTTGAGTTTTTTGGGGTTTTTCTGAGGTCCTCAGGTGGTTTTGGGCTCCAAAATCAACATCCCCCATGTTTGGGGTCTCCAGGAGATCTTGGGGGGCTCCTCGAGGGGTTTGGGGTGGTTCCTATTGAGTTTTTTGGGGTTTTTTTTGGTTTTTCTGAGGTTCTCATGTGGTTTTGGGCTCCAGGATCGACCTCTCCCAGGTGTGAGGTCTTCAGGAGATTTTGGAGGGCTCCTCAAGGGGTTTGGGGTGATTTTTGGAGGATCTCAGAGGGTTTGGGGTGGTTCCTGTGGAGTTTGGTAGAATTTTTGGGCGTTTTCCTGAGGTTCTCAGGTGATTTTGGGCACCAGAAGCTCCAAGATCAACATCTCTCAGGTTTTAGGGGATCCCTGAGAGGTTCCTCGAGGATCGTGGTGTCCCCATGGTGTTCCTGAGATGATCATGGTGTCCCCAATGTCCCCAATGTCCCCTCACTGTCCCCAATGTCCCCGATGTCCCCTGACTGTCCCCACTGTCCCCAGGTCATTGCCGTGGTGGGCCAGCAGAACGTGGAAGGGAAGCGGATCCCGTTTGGGTTCAAGCACCGGACGCTGCCCCATTTCATCAAGGACGATTACGGCCCCGAGAGCCGCGGCTTCGTGGAGAACTCGTACCTGGCCGGGCTCACCCCCACCGAGTTCTTCTTCCACGCCATGGGCGGGCGCGAGGGCCTGATCGACACGGCCGTCAAAACGGCCGAGACCGGTCAGTGAGAGTGTCCCCATGGTCATCTGGGGACTGGTCAGTGACAGTGACCCCATGGTCATCTGGGGAGCTCCAGGAACCNCCCCAGATACCACCAGGAACCCCAAACTCTGCCCCATTGTCTCATCGACACGGCCGTCAAAACGGCCGAGACCGGTCAGTGGCACCCAAAGGTCATCTGGGGAGCTCCAGGAACCCCAAAACCCTGCCCAGATACCACCAGGAACCCCAAAACTCTGCCCCATTGCCTCATTGACACGGCCGTCAAAACGGCTGAGACCGGTCAGTGACACCCAGAGGTCATCTGGGGAGCTCCAGGTGTCCAAAACCCTCCCCAGATACCACCAGGATCCCCAAACCCTCCCCAGATACCACCTGGACCCACAAAACCCTCCCCAGATACCACCAGGACCCCAAAACTCTGCCCCAGGGTCACATCGACACGGCCGTCAAAACGGCCGAGACCGGTCAGTGACACCCAGAGCTCATCTGGGGACTGGTCAGTGACAGTGACCCCATGGTCATCTGGGGAGCTCCAGGTGTCCAAAATCCCACCCAAGGTGTTCATGGGAACCTCCAAAATCCCACTATGGGAACCCTGGAGACCCCAAACCCTCCCCAGATACCGCCAGGATCTCAAAACCCTCTTTAGATACCACCTGGATCCCCAGAGCCCTCTCAGACCCCTCCTGGAGACCCCAAACTCCTCCCCAGATGCCTCCAGGAGACCCCAGACCTGTCTCAAACCCCTCCTGGAGACCCCAGACCCCTCTCAAACTCTTCCTGGAGACCCCAGACCCCTCCTGGAGACCCCAAACCCCTTTCCAACTGTCCCATCCCTTTCTGGAAACCTCAGACTCCTCTCCAACCCTTCCAGGAGACCCCAGACCCCTCTCAAACCCCTCGTGGTGACCCCAGACCCCTCTGAAACCCCTCTTGGAGACCTCAACCCCTCTCCAACCTGTCCTGGAGACCCCAGACCCCTCCCAACCCCTCTCCAACCCTTCC